TGCGCATTAAAATGAGACCCAGCGGATCGTTATGTGATTCTTCTTTTGTGATTTTTGCGATGTGTTATAACAGTTTAAATTGTCGACAATTTTATCGACATCGTTATTAGACAGTTCTTCAGTTATGTTCATATACCTAGTAAAGAATTAGTATGCAATTTACAAGTGTAATTAATATAGTATATTAAGTAATAATAAAGTAATAATAAAGTATATTAATTAATAGTATATTATTATTAATAATTATAATTATAATATTATATTAAAGTATATTAATTAATAGTATATTATTGTTGTTAATTATAAGTATATTAATAGTATATTAAATAAGTATATTAATAGTATATTAAATACAAGTGTAATTAATATAGCATATTAAATTTGCAAGTGTTATTAATATAGTAAATAAAATACACATATAAAACTCATAATATTTATATTCATGTATATTATATAAAATTATGTATAATATTATACAAAATTATTTATTAAAATTATATATATTCATATATATATAATATATTATTATTATATTTCATCAAAATTATATATATTATATTATATTACATTATAGTACATTATTATAATACATTATACTATATAATAGTATATTATAATACGTTATTATACTATATTATATTATATTATGTTATAATACATTATTATACTATATTATATTATATTATAATACGTTATTATACTATATTGTATTATATTATGTTATAATACATTATTATACTATATAATATTATATTATAATACGTTATTATACTATATTATATTATATTATGTTATATTATTACACTATATTATATTATTATACTATTATAATACGTTATTATACTATATTGTATTATATTATAATACATTATTATACTATTTATTAAAATTATATATATTCATATATATCATATATAAAACATTATATATATAGTATAATAATATTAATATTATAAAACATCTCATATAGTATAATAATATATAAAATTCAAAATTCATATCTCTATTTTATATTTTCACATTATATCATTTTATATATATTTTATACATCTCTATTCCATACTCCTATTTTATATACATTCATCTAGAATTCATAATAAATAATATTCATAAAAAATTCTTCACTCTAGTATCACAAAAAGATAATATAATCCTCAGTTCTTTCACATACCTCGCGAATCTTGGATAATGAACGCGACGATATTTATAAAAAAACAACCTGGAGTAATCCAGATTCTTTTCGCCCGGTAAAAAGCTACTGGAAAATTAATTCGACGAGCAAGGACGGGGGAGGGGGGGGGGGGAGAGGAGGAAGAGGAGGAGGAAGTGGACACTGGGGATACGTGAGCAGGAAGTCAGAAATCGAGGAGAGAAAACGAGCGTCTACCGGATAACGTCCGAGGTGTATCTGGACCTGGCTCGGATCGACGTCGTCCTCGTCGCCGGAAATCGAGAGGACGTGCCTCGATATCCGTACCCTTATCGATCCCCCACCCTCGTCCCGTCCTCCCCTTGCATCCCACAATTCCGCGAAACACGACCTCCTCCTCCTCCTCCTCCTCCTTCTTCGGCCACTTGCTCGTTCCTCCTTTCCTCCTCCGGCGACGGAGAATCTCGGCCGAATGGAAAAATCGGCGAAGACACAGACACACGCGGGGAAAAAAAATGAATTTCCCTCAGTTGGACAGGCGTCATTCTGCCGGCTACAATCACTGACGAACTTCGGGCGAACTTTCTCCGATGGAGCCCCTTCTTCTTACCACGAGCGTATCCGGCATTTGGTTTGCTCGGTATATTTCGAAAATGTCTCTTGTCTTCCTCCTTCGAGCAGCTTTCGTTTCTGTAATAAATGTAAAACCGTGTGATTCGACATTTGTTGACTATACTGGGTGTTTAGTCCCGAAGTTTAGTGCTGGAACTGTAGTGAAACATTTATATCAGATTTTTACATTAGCTTAAGACATCATTTCTCGAACAATAATCGTAATTGTCAGTTATTATTGATTGCGCTGCAATTCCTCTGTTCAATAACCTTCACCTTCGTTTGTGAATCGACCTTAATGTCGTGTGAGAATGATATATAATAAACGGTTAGTTTATCAGTCACGGCGTTTCGTATGTACCTCAAGACGTTATTTACATTATAATATTTACATTATATATATCAATGTTATATATAATTATGTTATAGTAACAATTGCAACAATAATATTAGAATAATAATATTATATATGAATAGCATAGAATTACACTGTGATAATGGAATTAAAATGTTATTAAATACCATTATAATAATTGAGAAGGTACAATTGTAATAAATATAATAAAATACAATTATAATAACAAATAACATTACATATTAATATAATATGTAATTATGTTGTATAATAACATTAGAATAATAATATTATATATTAATAGCATAGAATTACACTGTAATAGTGGAATTAAAATGTTATTAAATACCATTATAATAATTGAGAAAGTGCAATTGTAATAAATATATTAAAATACAATTATAATAATAAACAACATTACATATTAATATAATATATAATTATATTGTATAATAATACTAGAAATAATACTAATAATACTAGAAATATTGTATAATAATATTATATATTAATGTAACATATACATTACATTATAATAATGGAATTAAAATACTATTAAATATCATTATAAAAATTGAGAATGTACAACTATAATTAATAAATACAATTATAACAATGGCATTACATACTAACATAATATATAATTATATTAATGATAATTATAATAATAATTACATTAATAATAATTATTATAACAGAATAAAAATTATCAAATATCATTACAGTAATAACATTATAACAATTGAGAAAATACAATTATGATAAATAGAATGAAATACAATTATAATAATAACATTATATATTAATATATAATGTAATTACATATTAACATATGATGTAATTATATTATAATTGTAATTATACAATAATGGAATTGAAATATTGTACAGAACCATTATAACGATATTATTAACAACATTATAATAATTAAGAAAATACAATTACAGTAAATACAATAAAATACAATTATATAAAATAACATTATATAAATTATATGAATAAAATTATATAAACTAAGTACCATATAAATAATAGACTTTGTTAATAAATGAACACTACTATAATAATAACATTATACGTTAATATATAATGTAATTATATAATAATATATAATGTAATATATAATGTAATTATATATTAATATACAATAATGGAACTGAAATCTTATTAAATACCATTATAATAATATTATTAACGACATTATAATAATTGGGAAGATACAATTACAGTAAATATAATAAAATACAATTATATAAAACAACGTTATATAAATTATATAAAATTATAAAAATTGTATAAAATTATCTATTAATATAATAACAATGATATAATAATATAATATAACAATATAATAATAATAATATAATAATATAACAATATAATAATAATATAATAATATAATATATTATATAATTGCATTGTAATAGCAATTACAATAATGCAATTAAAATATCATCAAACACCAGTATTTTCTGGTGTCGTCACACTCGTGACAACTTCATCGTGACGTTGTTTCCAGCTGGGGGGCCCGACGCGCCCTGCATCTCCCCCCTCCGCCCCAGTTTTCCACATGCCCTGCAAACGTAAGACTCGTCTATTCTCGGATGGGACCGGTTTCGAATGGCATCCCGCAGGACGTGGAATTCTCTCGGTGACAAATCGTTCGCCGTCAATCAAACGGACAAATCGCGCGTCTTTGCTCGCCTCTCTTTGCATTCTCTCGACTGTCTGCCAACGTGCACATCTACGAAACCGGTTAAATCAATTTCAGGAACGTTTGACGCCGAACGGGGAAGAAAAGAGGCGAACGCGTGTCGCCGGGACCAATGATAAATTTCCACGCGTGCCTCACCGGCGTATTCTGCCAAGACGAATGCGTTTGTTTGCCCGCCGCTTTGGCAGCGGTCGTGTCGCGTAAACAAACCGATCCTCAACCCGGTTCGGAATCGCCTGCGCGCCGCGCAAACAACGCCGAATCCCTAAAAATGCTAACGTAAATATTCGACTCGCTCGATTCTCGTTTCACATCTCACGGCTGGATGCGAACAGAGCGAACATCCATCCGTCATTTCGAATTTCATTCGAACGAGCCGCTCCGTGCTCCGAAGCTTCGAAAAAATTCCCAGCTAGCGGAGAATCGGGTAATATTTCCCGTATGAACGAGGCAAAGTATCGATTTGTTAATTGCGGAACGAAAATGGACGAGCGAGGGAGGGATCGCCGTAGGGAATTCACTCTCGATTGTCGAATTACGCGATCACTGTTATTTTCCAAGGATTCCAATTATTCATAAGGGAAGTTGCAGTGTTTTTTTTTTTGATTAAAAAATGTTTTCGTTCAGAGGGAACCGTCTTTTTTAAATTATTCGGAGCAGCCTCTTTTTTTTTCGATTTTTCGACGATAAATAATTCTCGACCGAAGCAGAATTTTCCTCGTCGATAACTGTAGAGTAAAATTCTATAAACTCTCGACAATAATGATCATCGACAAACGAGAATGATTTCAATTGTCATTCGTAACCAAAATGTTCAATTGTCTAATCGTATGATTTTTTGAAAAATTTTCTCTAAAACAAATTTCAATTAATCGTCCGAGTCTTCTCATGAAAAATATTTGTGACAACTGTCATTCTTGATCGAGTGATCGATGTCAACAACGAAAGAAATCTTCGACCACTCAGATTCGTTGTTACGTACACAAAAATGTTTAATTTTTTTTTTTTAATCATGTAATTAAAAATAAATTCTCTTTACACCTTGAGATTGATATGAACCCAAGTCGAAGCATGTTTCAGTAAGAAATTTTTCTCGCGAAACTCCTTCTGACAGCTGTCGATAATAAACGCGACGTTTAACGAGAAATATCTGATCTTTTGGATTGCAGACACGCACTGGCCGGTGTTCGTCTGCGTTCTAATGGCGACGACGGTGCTTTCCTGTCGGCTGAGCGAGTTTCAATGCGGCAATGGTCGCTGCATCGCCCTCAACAAGGTGTGCAACGTCGTCGACGACTGTGGCGACGGCAGCGACGAGCCACGACAATGTTCTCGTGAGTAGAATCCAGCTTTCGATCGAATAAGAGGTGTTAACGCCATTCGGTGACGTTTCCTATGTAACTGTATAATTTTTTTTTTATAACAGACACGGCACTTGTCGGTATAAACATTGGGATCAAATTGTCGATATAAACGAGCGGTTCAATTCGTTGCTGGTTTTCGCAATCACGCGAGAATTTATGCATCTGTTTATCGCTAAGTTGCCAAGCTTGATATAATTACTTGTAAACTAACATTCGTACAATGATACTTTCCACGAAATGAGCTATTTCTTTCGAGAAATGCGATTTCTGTTCGTAACAATTGTGTAACGAAATATTCTCTTCGATCAACGTATTTTACGTTCTCTTTGGAAACGATCTCTAGGTCCATCTGCTCGGTAAACGTCGACGATTAAAAAAGTAATTAATAAGCTATCGATCGATAACATTAAAAAAAATCGGTCGTTGATCTAAAATGTCGATCGCTAACTTAAAATATCGATCGATATCGTCAAAAAATCGGTCGATAACCTAAAATATCAATCGATAATATAAAAATAATCAGTCGATAACCTAAAATATCCATCGATAACGTAAAATATCGATCGATAACATTAAAAAAATTGGTCGATAACCTAAAATGTCGATCGATAATATAAAAAAAATCAGTCGATAACCTAAAATATCGATCGATAACCTAAAATATCAATCGATAATATAAAAAAAATCAGTCGATAACCTAAAATATCGATCGATAACAGAAAAAAAAGACGAATTAATAGGATTCCGGTAAAATGTCAACGAGAAAGCTGGATCCAGCCGAGTTTTTACTTCTGCACGCCGACTTCTTCCGCGAAGTGGCGTGTGTCGAACACGGTGCGGTGGGTGGAGTTTAAACGCAGCCGAGAGCGATCGCAAGCCCAGGCGGGAAATCGAGTTACGCCGGGAATCGAGCCACCCCTCGCGCAACGTCTCGCGGCTGCTCAAGTTTCATCGACGAAACTTTGCGTAACTGTTGCGTGCCTCGTTGCACGCCACCGTCGCGTCGCAGCGAAGAAACGACGAAAGAAAAAGAGAAATAAATCACCGCTCGCTCGAGCAGAAACGAACTCGAAATTAAAATTGTCGGAGAAAAATCGTCCGTACCTTCGGCGATGATCCGATTAACTTTCGAAGAAAATGAAAACTCTCAGGGATTCCCGGGGCTTTTAACTCCCTTTAGAGAGAGAGAGAGAGAGAGAGAGAGAGAGAGAGAGAAAAAAGAAGAGAAAAAAAGAAAAAGAAAAATAAAAGAACTTCGCCCCCGAACTGAAAGACGGAGAGAGAATCAGTTTAACGTTCTCCGAGAGATTAACGCTGAGCCCCGGCGACTGCTTCGAGGCATCCTTCGATCTTTCCCCCGGACGGAAGATCGAGTTAACTGGCGACAGAAGGAAGATACGAAAACTCACCGGCTCGAGGGAAATAAAGCAAAGTAAAAACTACCGAGAAAGAGAGAGAGAGAGAGAGAGAGAGTTCTGTCGTCACTCGCGCGTAGAATTCTAACGAGTCCAACTCGTAAACTTTCGTTCGTGTACCCATTCGAAACGACCCCAGACGATTCACCCCCGTCGAGCAAAAAAAAAAAAAAAAAAAAAAAAGAACAGATTCTCTCGGACTGAAACTAGGAATTGAAACAATAATTAGTCGAAGATTCGTCGGTTTTCACAGAACAGAACGCTCCCACCCAGAATGGAGGGGGGAGGGGGGGGGGGGGGAAGACACAATCGCGCCTCTCTTTTCCGACCTCTTCCACGCCACGAACGTTTCGGTCTCGTCATTGTCACGAGGGCTGAATGCAGTAACTGATCCTCTCATTGTTCCTGCGGCAGCCACCGATCGAACCACCGTTTGAAAAGCCACCTCCCCCCCCCCCCCCACCCCCCCCCCCCCCAGCCCCCAGCCCCCCGCTTTCCGTGATTGCAACCCGGTTCCAAAGAGCTTCTGCTTCGTTAGACCTCTTTTCTCTCCCTCGCCTCCTTTATTTCTCTCCTCCTGTATTTGTTTATCCAGGGGAGGGGGAGGGTCCTCTCGCGTTTCGTTAACGTTTCTCCTCTCCTTTACCGACAGTAATCGAGTTTCGCCACGCGCGCGAACGATAGATGGATCTCACTGGATCGCTTTTTTTTTGTTCGAACTGACTCCTGGCCCGACAACGGCTTCCGCCGAACGGCCGAACACGATTCCGAAAACGTTCGCAATACGTTCTCCTTCTCGTTCGTTTCCAGCCGGGAAGACGCCGACACGAATCGATTTTAAAACGTCCTCGAGAAACGCGGAAGCTATGTACAGGGTGGCCACTGAAAAAAAAAAAAAATAATAGCTTGTTCGTTTTCTTCTTTTGCTAGTTATATACATAAAAAGAAAAAAAAAAGAAAAAATACCTGGAGAAAGATCCGTCAATTGTATTTCCAGATAGAGTAATAAGAAATTGAAAGAAAAAAAAAAAGAAGAAACACGTGCTTGCAAAAGTACATATAACTCTCGTTATGTGTCATTCGATCTCTCTCGGTGACCGCCCCCAACTTGGCAACAACAACATACGATATGCCGTGAGACGGCGCGACGGTGGCGGTGAGATTAATCAAGGCGACATCGTTCCGCCATTTGCTGTAAAATAATTCCAACGCCGGCCTGGCCCCGGACTCCGCGCGATTTCACTCCGCACACGCCGGGAGCCGGCTGACCGACCAGCCGCCTCCCATTACGCGACGCCGATGCTAATGGGAATCGACGCGACCCAGTGCGTCTCTCGTTTTTAAGCGGGACAAACGTGATCCGCTTAAAAATCACTTTTAACCGTCGAAAATACTTTTTTTTCGCAGAGTCTACGAAACTAATTGCAAGGGAATTTTTTCCCCCGAGGGGGAGGGGGAATTATTTCGAACATCCACCGGAGATTTACGCGAGATTTGAATCCCTCGGATTCGATCGCGTGTATAATAGGTTCGTTCGCGCGATCAATAATGAAATTAATAAACGTGTTACATATCATATATATTATATATAATTATTATACCGTACGTATTATATACGATTGTTCTTAATTCTCAGTCATTCTGAGTCACAGTTCACTTCAGACAGTCTCGTCTTTGTGTCGAGAAATTATATTGATTATTATTGGTAATATCAAAGTTGTATTCAAATATATATGTAAATAATATAACAATATAATAATAAAATAATGATATAATAATTAATATAGTAATAAAATAATAATACAAAATAGTAATAAGTATAAACATAATAATAATAACATAATAAAATAATAATAATAACATAATAAATATAATAATAACGTAACAAATGTAATAATAATAACATAGTAATTAATATAATAATAAAATAGTAATATAATAATAATATAATAATAAAATAATAATATAATGAGAAATACAAATATAATAATTAATATAATGATAAAATAATAATATAATGAGAAATACAAAGATAATAATTAACATAATAATAATATAATAATAAAATAATAATATAATGAGAAATACAAATATAATAATTAATATAATAATAAATACAAATAATATAAAATTATATTATATCATAACACCCATTCAAACTACGAACTGTGATATATTTTTTTTTAAAAACAGATAGTCAACTGAGACACCCTATACATTTTGATCGTTTGTCCCTATTCATGTATCGACTGGGCATCTATTCGTACAAATAAATAAATAAATAAACAAATAAATAAATAAATAAATAAATAAACAAATTCTTGAGAAAATCAACGAAACTTCGGAACTACTTGTTCGAGAACGAATTTCTCTGACTTTCTTCTATTTGCGGCAGGGGAACAAGAGTTTGAAAGGAGGAAAGAAGGAGACTTGAAATGGCAGAGGATAAGGGAAATAAATTTTTGAAAACACCGAATCGTTCGATCAACGAGAGACAGAGGATGTTTCTCTTTCTCGAACGGTCTGCTATCGACAGATCGTGACAAAATGGGGGTAGTTTGCCCGGTGAATCCGCGATAGTAAAAACGAGACCCCGAGTTCTTCCTCTAATTTCCGTGATTTATCGCTGAAGGAACGTTCAGATATTCTCTGGGTTTAGTTTGTCACATTTTATCACGCGCGTCGATCGTTGAAAAGAGACCCGAGTGGTAAGCAAGAAGTAATTAAAAGTATTACTGACAACCTTTTGCGAATTTTGATGATCTCGGAATATGTTGCCAAGAGCATGATTCTGAACTTTCTTTACTAACACGTCACCACTTCGTTCGACTTCAGTTTCCGAGATATTCGGGGAGGGGGAAGAGGATGTTACCGACGTTAATTAAAACCAAATCAATATACAGGGTGTCTCGTAACTTGTGGGAGCTGATTGTACGCCTGAAAATAATGAAAAAAAAGTCACGTAAATGTATGTCCTGTCTGTCTTCGTTTATGAGGTATAATGAATTTTCTGTTTTTCAATTACTTTTACAAAAGATGCTCGAAATGACCAGCCTGCACGCGTCTTGTCATTCATCTGGTTACTCTCTCTCCATCGTTCCTGGTGTTTCTCGAATTTGTCGGAAGCCTTGCTCTATTCTATTTCGTAGTATTTCAGCATGTTCAATCGATGTTGCGTGTACAATAGATATTAAATGTCCCCGCAAGTGAAAATCTAATGGATTCAAATCCGGAGAACGAGCAGGCCATGCAACAGGACCACCACGACCAATCCATTTATTTGCAAAGTGTCGATTTAAAAATTGCCTAGCCACACGGCTAAAATGCGGCGGAGCTCCATCATGCATGAACCGCGATACGAAGTCTAATATCGACTGGAACTTCCTCGAATATTTCGTGTAAACGCGTGCTCAAAAAATCAACGTACTTTGTGCCTGTTAGTTTCCCATCAAGGAAAAAAGGTCCAATTAAAAATTTATCAATTATTCCTGCCCGTACGTTTAAACTAAACTGGCGTTGATGTCTTGAATGCACAATAACGTGTGAGTTTTCTTC